ACACATTCATTGCAATAATTTTGTTCTGTGAGGCCATGCAGTTGTTTCGTCAAAGGGTGTCGCTTTATGATTTGAAACAGTTCAAACATCTTGGGAACAGGAAATGCTGCACTCTAGATTGCAGTATTTAAAAGGAATTTTGAGCTATTTCTCAGTTTCCAATTATAACAACTCGCTGACTGTTTTTTGTTGTTCCGTTTTGAATTTTTTAAAGACGCAATTCCCAGTACAAAAATGTCACGCAATTCCTACTGTATAACCGTTTGGATGACGTTCATTTGCTATGTTGGGCCGCGATGGCCAAGTGGTTAAGGCGTCTGACATTCTGCTACCACTAGCCCTCCACCTCTGGGTTGTAGGTTCGATACCTACGAGGGTCAGTCGCCAGGTACCGGCCGTATGTAGGTCGGTGTTTTTTCTCCGAGAACTCTGGCTTTCCTCTACCACCAAAACCTGGCACGTCCTTAAATGACCATAGCTGTAAACAGGACATAAAACACAAACAAACCGAACCTAATCATTTGCTATGTTGCTAAGGAATCAATTGGAACAAAAAAACAATTCTGAGACTTAGAATTTTTACGATCAAAAGAGAAACTCATTAGTTCATTAGGTAATAAGCGGTTTATTTTTTAAATATGTACGAAATGTTATTTCAACGTTTTGAATTTTGGTCATAATTTTCTTTATGGTTGTCGCTACCCCGATCTTCTCTTTTGGAACATAATTTTAACTGAATTTTCCTAGATTTACTAGGCGGGTATCGCTGATGCAAAAGGAGCTTACCGTTTCGGCGAATTTGGTTTTATTCGTTTTGCGCGTGTTCAATTACATCCATTGAATCTTTGTTTTCTTCGTATCGTCCGCTGTTTCATCGGTTGTGACGTCGAATTTCAATTTGTTTTACACTCAAATGTGACTTAGTTTTCTTTTCATATGTAACCGAAGCTCATTAATTGGAGCTTCTGGATATCTCCAATAACGTTAATTCTATTCAAAATATTTGTATGTCTCTTTAATCGAATTATTTGAACACCGTGTTCCTTACAGCAGAATGTTCGTTGCCGACGTAACGACTGTGCCCTATAGATCTATCTTTGACAGATAATCGATTGCAATAGGCCCTATTGTGATGTCATCAAGTGATAATAAAATGATATCAAAAACTTCAAAATAACATTATAGGGTGTCAGAATAGAAAATCATATCTGAAGCCAAAATGGCGGAACTTCATTAATGACATGACAAGGCTTTTCTCAGGTTTCGCAAAAAAAGTCTTGGTCATGTGATAAAAAGGACAGGAAAAATGTACGTAAAGTTCATTAGTTTCCATTTCATTTGAGATATATAGAGCTATACCCAAGTTTTCATTTGTGGTTGCTAGAGGAGCGTTAAAATAAAATAAAAACAATAAATTCGTTTGAACTTATAATGAATAAAAACTGATGGTATTTCCGAAGGTGTATGTCAATTCATCCTTGATACTCCAGGGGTTATGTTCACTTTCGCTCTCTACAACCCTGTTATATGTCATAGCAAAATCGAAAGCTCAGTGTAAAACTCATTTGACTGGCTTTGAAGTCGGGTGTCGCTCCTCTGTTATCTTCAAAGGCTTGGTCAGGCATTTTAACCAGAGATCAATCAAATAGCTAAGCGCATGCCCTTAATTTTGCTATGACATATTCTAGGGTGCAGAGAGAGAAAGCGAGCGTACACACTGGGGCATCGAGAATGATGTCAATTGCAATCGTGCAATGGTTGGAAGCAAAAACAATAGCACGACTCAAATAAACACATACATACTGATATGACTTAATTTGTGTAGCATGCACAGATTTTGTAAAATGTGTATTAACAAAACAATGAGGGCACATTTGGTTCTTCTATATCCCATAATAACTTACAGTAAATGAACTTCGTGAGACGTATCGATGTTTGTTCATCCAAACAAGCGACCTCCCTGACGTCAGCATCGCCTTTTCTTCAACATAAAGTATAAATACCCGTCAAACACCATTGATGCCTTTCATAGGCCCTATCGTAATTCACTATTAAGTACACACCCGTTGACAAGATTAATACTGTCTCGGCTCATCAGGACTGGCCGCTCATTCTCTGAACAGTTTTACGGTCTAGTCTAGACACTGTCAGATGTGTTTCTAATGCTGTGAATGGCCACCGTTGCCTAGATACTTTCCAACGACAGATATCTTTCTCATATTCAACTTCTAATATCAATTCTGATCTGTGGTAATGTGGATTTATTTTCTTACATTATCAGGATTGTGTTTGAGCATTCATTCAAGACAAGAATTGTCAGTGAATCCCCATAGTAACCATTTATCACATCAATCCTTCCCTGCGTACCTATGATCTAACTCTATCTAGCTTTATTGTCCATGTAATCCCTGTCAAGTTGCTGGTCACTTCGACAGTTAAGCTTTTTTCTTAAGTCCTGATACGATTTTTTAAGAGTTTCCTTGGGTTTTTTTTGTATCCAATCTTCATCCTTTATTTTGCGCTGGTTAAGTCAAGTTTGCCCAGCAGCTGAAACCAACTAAGCTCGAAAGATAAAAACCAAAACTGCTGAGTTGATTTTTCTGTAGAAAAAGTACAAGATAATATTACAAGAATCCGTATTACATTGTAAACCTTAACAAATAAGTACATAGCTACACTTTTGCTACAGGAAACCTAGACATAACAAGACTATTAAGTACTAGTATTCATTGCTTGTACATAAAAGAATGGTGATGATTTCAGATTTATTGAAACTCGGGCAATGAGTACCAACAAGTCAAAATTATATGAATACTTTTGCAACTATTATAAAAATGATTAAGTCCTATTGAAACAAAATATAACATAGAAATGTATATTCCTGTGAATTTTATTTTTTTAAATTGTTGTCGTTCGAAATTTGATAGTTAAAAAAAGAAATGCAAATTCATTTATTTTAATGCAGGAGCCGAACTCGGGACATGCACATACCAAAGTACGCTTTACTAATATTGTCATATAGAAATTATGCAAACACTGCTTCAGAATTGGTCTCCAATTCATGGACCGCAAGGCATATGAAAAACTTGTCAGGAGGAGTTACATACACGATGAAATATCTACATTAGCTCATCGGTAATTGGGCTAAACCGGACTCGCTTGTCTGTATCTAATATATGAAAAAAAATATAATAACGGACATTTGACGAACATTATAAGGTATATATATCTCGAACATAACGCAAGGTGTTAGAGTCAAACTGTCTTCAAATTTTAAATGAATTGTATTTGGGCGTTATTTGTCTTTTGACGTTTTATAAGAACTAATGTTATCACCATATGCTACAGAATAAACAAGTGCTGAACAAATGATGTCACACGTTTTACTAAAGAATTGTGTCCAATGTTTGTCATTTGTCATTAAAGGTACTAGTTTAATTTACTATACCACTTGATACATTTGCTGTTATTTTAAATGAAATTGAAAATGGCTATTTCGTCATTATTTTGTTCATTGAATTTAAATTAGTTCATTACTAAAAAAGATCTGGAACGACTTCGCACTGCACGAAATGACAATACTGTGATCGGTGTTATGTTATAATTAGAATCTTGCATACGTGTCCATGTCATATTGAATTTATTAAACTTGTTCAATAAATTCAATATGACACTGACACTCATGTTAGATCCTATATATATGTATGTACGGGTTATTATTAAGAACTCGACATTTTTCTTATCATCTAAAAACTGTTGGTACATTGAAGCAGGTGTGGACGTATTTCACGTCTAAGTTAATCTTCAGGCGTTTATTAGAAGGTTTGACATACGCTAACAATTCATTTTCAATTAATTATTCTTTTCAAAATCCTTTGGACTGAGTGTGATCAGAACATTCTATTTTTGATTGAAAGATGAAAATGTAATTTGCCTTTCTTTTTTAAACTTTGTTCTTTCAATATTTTCAAAATAAAATTAAATATGAAAAATATTACTTTTTTCCGTTAAAGGTTTCTCTGTTGATGTGACCTTATCATTTGCTGATATCTGTATCAAATACTCTACGAATGCATTGTACAACTGAAAGTGATGAAATTTTGTCAGTAAAAGAAAATTGATACACAATTGTTTCAACAAGGAAGGTATGCCTATCGATGCCGATATCAAATTTTATGAGAATATTCACACGTTACAGTTTTCAACAAAAACTATCTGACAGCCATGTCTGAAACGACTTTTGATTCATTCTACAATCAAATGTGCCTGTCGGATGGCGATCTGCTTCATGTCAGTTTGATTTCAAAATAGTCAAAAACCAACATGGAAATTTTAATTTCGTAAAATGATTATACAACCATAGGAGCCTTTGAAATTCTGCGAAAAAACTTCTTTTCGCAAGTAAATATCAAACGACATCTGAAAGGATATGAATGAATATGCAAATTATATATATCGCTGTTTTAAAGGTTTATGAAGATGCATTTTCGGTATATTTGAAATCGCAATTTACTATCCTTCCGAAGAAACGCGAAAGAATAATATACTAGTATAAGATAGGTTATAATAGCATTGCCTGGCCGTTTGCTGTCATATCAGGTAGAACATTCCGGTTAAATGTTCTTGTTGGTCACCCAAATTTGTTTTGCCGTTTTTTGGTTATTCGTTAGCATATTTGTCAGCATTGGTCTGTTTCTTCGTTTGTTGCCTATTGGTCAGCAAACCTCTGTTGACCGTTTGTACGTTATTGGTCGGCATACGTCTGTTTGACCAATTGTTTGTAATTGTTCAGAAAAACTCTGTTTGACCGTTTGTTAGTTATTGGTCAGCAAAACTCCGTTTGATCGTCTGTACGTTATTGGTCAGCATAACTCCGTTTGACCGTTTTCTGGTGATTGGTCAACATGAATTCGTTTTATTATTAAATGGTCAACATAAACTCGTTTGATCGCTCATTGTTATTGGTCAACATATCCTTATAGCACCGTTTCTCTTCACAGATTGACCTTTCTGACATCATCGAGGGCTGGTACCTACAGACGATAGATGTCTACTCCGGATGTGACGACTTCCAGACGACGAAATGTCGGCGCAGCCGGATATACGTCACAAACCACATGACGTATAATCATTGCTTTGACTGTTCTCCCAAGTGGTGGCTGTGCTTCAGCCCATGTTGGCTAATGACGGCGCCTTGCTATATAGTAAGTCTGTAGATACCTTACATTACTTTTGAAAGGAATTTATGGGTCATTTTTGGCCTCATTAAAAGTGAAAATTTCAGCTTGAATTTATTTACGAATTTCTTTTATAAACATCATATTGTTTAATTGGAGTTATATTTCTTGATGAAGATTATTTTCAATGCGCATGCAGAGATGCCCTACGATAGCAAAAAAATTCGTTGCTATGCAGACGTAGCCACAATATGGTGTTTTTAGACACTAAGAATACAAAACTGAAAGCCTCCACATGCGACAAACAAAATATTCTTTTCTACAAATGAACACTTGCATGACAATATTTAAGCATTATTTATTTACTGCATTCGGATGCATTCGAAAAGCGAAAAATACTTATTTAACTAACTTCAAAATTACCAATGTCCCTTTTTCATCAAAAAAAATTTTCGCACGGGAAACAAGTCAGTTCGTCGTGCCTGTTATATTTTTCATACATATAGCTGTTGCTATCACGTGACTCTCACGTAACACGTCTATACTATCACCTAATTGGTCAAATATTGACTGTTTAAGGTTCTAGAAGCCCCCTAAATTATGGTATAGTCACCATATACGGCAATCCGTAGGATTCAGCTGGGCCGCAAAAGAGTTAGACAATTCCAATAAACAAATTTAAGCAAGCCATAAGCATTATGCTTTAAATAATGACTACGTTAATTTGGCTTTGTGCCATTTTAATAGCTCGCCTACAAATTCATTATATTTAAATTAGATGTATGAGTTATATGAATTCTGATTTTCGATTTAGTTACTTTGGATATGACTCATTGGGGTTTGAATTTTGGATGACTAAAACATCTTTTGGGAGGCTTGTTCAACATAATGAACAAATGTAATCAAATGTGACGAGCATCACTTCGTGTTACCTAAATAAACCTTACATGTTGCATTACGAATGTATTAGTGACCTGCCTATATTTACCACGTCATACATGTATATGTAGACCTCCTGTATGTTTCCATAGCAACGACGTTTGAAAGTTTAACCCGATTATATATAGAGAGAGAGGTTACACAACGAGTGGTTGTTGAATATGGTAATTATTTCACTCGAGTTTGTTAATTTTCAAAAGTTACAAAATACACGAGCTTTAGCGAGTGTCTTTCTGTAACTTTTGAAAAAGTCTCAACAGTGTGACCCAACAGTTGAAAAATAAACTTTCATTGTCGAATTGGATGGCTGGACGAGAAAAACGTGTAAACTGGTCAACGCCTATAGAGAGCAAACTGCACGGGGAAAACTGTCACTGACACACGGATAGTGTGTGTGTGTCATACTCGGTCATGTGTGTGGATTTTCATGTACATACAGTTGGTAATACATGTTCTATAACAAATCTCCGCACGCACAGTTTCCTTTTTCCCGCTTGTATATTATAAAGTCGGCATCAGATCCGCACTTTCACAAGGAGGCAAGCACACCAACTTACCCTGTCTCCTGCATTCACACACGCAAGCACGCATACACTACACACATGGAGGAACGTCCTTAAATGACCTTAGCCGTTAAAAGGACGTGACATAAAATTAAACAAAACCAAACCAAGTATAACCGATACATATTTTCTCAAATTGGAATTAAATCTTAAATAACAAAACTTGTCAGAAAATGTCAATATGATGTGCCCTAATCGCTACTGCATTGTTCCTATTGTGATAACGTTGTGTATCCAATGTTATCTTTGTGATTGTCACATACACATGAAATAAATTATAAAGATCAAATACAGTTATGATGGTTTTAAGTGAACTGTTGTTCTGAGATCAAACGTATTTATTTCGTTATGTCTAGATATTACATGTTCAAAACTATATGTGTGCATGTCATGAAGAACTTAAATATAGGTTTAAGGCCAAGCGTATTTATTACGTTTTGTCTAAATAGTATATTTTCAAAACTATATGGGTATATGTCATAAAGAACTGAAATATAGTTTTGATTTTAAACATATATATTACGTTTTATGTAGATTTTGCATATACTCATAAGTAAACTTTGTACCTTTCACGTACAAGTGTCATATAATTTGCGGACGAAACATGCTTTGACACGTTTTGTCTAGATATTGTATTTTCTGTGAATTACGTATTCTGACCACAGGTTGGAATGACTCTCACATGTTTTTACACGTTTTGTCTAGATGTTGTATTTTCTAGGAATTACGTATTCTGACCACGGATTGGAATGATTCTCACACTGTTAACATGTTTTAACACATCCGTTGACATCGCGTTCGTAAGCAATGGGCGCTGAAACGTTCAGATGGATCCGAATGTTTAGGTTTTCTTATTTCCGTCCTGTTATTGACCATTACGTGGCGGGAGAATCACCGTGCTGTGGCGCCGTCTGGTGTTATAATTGAGTATGATACGGTTCTTATGTTGCCATTTCCGCCTTAAAGTCTCCCTTCATGCCGAGTCAGTCGGCTATGTTTGGTCCTATTATCACTGTTACCGACAGCGTATGGTCATCTTGTTTCATTGAGTATTTTAATGTTTCATCAAAATGCTTTCATTTGTTATTGATATTCTACGATAATTCAATATAAGAACCAATGTTTATGTATGTATGGATGTTAAATGTCAGTGAATACAACACAAGCCAGTCATGTAGTCCAGTCATGCATGCTAACTGTAAATGGCGAAGGTGGGACCAGACGCGTCCCTTCCACGTGATTTGTTTTGCTCTACTTGAATCACCGTCTGATAATCTAATATTTCGCCATATCTCGAAGCACGTACAGAGGACACTAAGCAAGATTCACACGTCACTAAACAGACGCGTTTATTATAAGTGACAGATCCCACCGATCTTCCATTTTTTTAATCACGTGACCTTCAACTTGTACACGTGACTTTCTTATCGTTTTCAACTTGAATGAATATACTAATTAGTTTGAAAACGCGCCTTTTCTTTTGATAACGAAATCGTGTGCATAAGCGTTGCTTTAAATATTAAGATTACGATATCAATTATCGTTTTATCATATTTTACTATATATAGCTATGTAGGTACGTTGAAGATTTACTTGTGGAATTGTACACGTAACCTCCCAAATTTATATCACGTGACATCCTTCCCACATGAGCTTCATAACTTTATCTGCTTGACCCCAACCCATCATATGATCCTGACTGTTGTATGGACTATTTTAGTAAAGCAATCGTTACTTATTGACTTCCGCTTCCGGTTTTCTAATTTGATTTCACTGGCGGTATTCATGGAATGTTCGATAATGTAACCACAACGCTTGCTTACTTTCCATCTGTGAAATATTGTTGGAAATAGGCGGCAAAATATTGTTCATATTGGATCTGTTTGAAACTGCTTTAATTTGTTTTGGAAATAGTTAAAATGAATCGTTCATATTTCTTCATCATCATCGTAACGCCATTTAAAAATCATAACCAAGAGATCGGTGAGTGTAAAGAAATAGAAGGATTTCCCTGCTGTTCTCGTTCTCTTTATAGATTTAAGCAGTGCTTTGCACTATTTCCGGTGATGATCTAGCTTTCTGTCCTATGTTATGAAGCCTCACAAAGTGTCATTATTTTATTATATATCTATTGATTACAGTATTTATCATTACCCTTGTACCGAGGATAGTCAAGTTGTGTGGTTTCGATCTACAAATAGAATAAATCTATACAAATATGTTGAACAAAACACAAGGAACTATATGCATTGCGCTCTTTTCTTCTTTGTTCAAAATGTCTTGTGATTTCGTGTGTACTGATTATTTTCATATTTCAAAATATTTTTTGTTTTTGAGATATATAAGATCAATCGTGCATTGATAAATAAGGAAACAAACACAAATATGAAAGCTTCTGTTTTGTTAGGAGAAATATTGTTTACTCAGGTCATCAGTTAATCGTTTAATTGTTAACCCCAGTCATCACTTATTTTGTTTTAACTTCAGTCATCAATGAATTGTTTAGTGTTAACAAAAGTCGTCACTAACTGGTTTAGATTTAATTCTAGTCATCACTAACTGGTTTAGATTTAATTCTAGTCATCATTAACTGGTTTAGATTTAATTCTAGTCATCGCTAACTGGTTTAGATTTAATTCTAGTCATCACTAACCGGTTTAGATTTAATTCTAGTCATCACTAACTGGTTCAGATTTAATTCTAGTCATCGCTAACTGGTTAAGATTTAATTCTAGTCATCACTTACCGGTTTAGATTTAATTCTAGTCATCACTAACTGGTCTAGTCATCACTAACTGGTTAAGTTCCATCGCCATCCATCAATTACACAAGTACTAGTTTCATTTTGACTCAAATAATCACCCTCTGGTTTCTTGTTTAAGCTATCGCATCACTCATTTGCTCAATTGAAACTCAAATAATTATAAGACAGCCAGACTTCACTCTAGTCATCAATATATGGTTTAAGTTAACTAAAAAAAAAATACAAATAAAAAACTCGCTTATTATCATGTACACGGATTTGTGTATATATTTCTTTCGCGAGGAATGATTCTCTCAAAGTGTGAAGACAAAGTCGCTCAAATTGGTACTTACTCTCGTTTGCTGATAAGGAAGATCCTGCGAATTCCTCAAAATTGAATTGGTTAATGTATTTGCTAATTGTATTAATTGTATATCTATATACTGTAAAGCGCTTTAGAGTGGCTTATTTAAGCTAGATAGGGCGCTATATCAAATGTTGTAAATTATTATTATTATTAAAATGAGTGATAAATATTAGTTATCCCGATATCATGACTACATAAAGTGCCATGCTAACGTGGTTAGGTTAACACAATTAAGTGATCGAAATGGCATTGGAAAGTGGCATTTGATTGGTTCAACCATCTTTTGGTTCAACCAATCAAATGCGACTTTCGGTAATCATTTTTCACATCTTTAAACATGATTCATCGATCTAACGTCACGTTAAGACGGTGTGTCTTCACGTGACGTTAGATCGATGAATCATGTTTAAAGATG